CCGAGGTGAACCTGAGCCTTGCCGGAAGTTGCCTTTCTCGAACAAACGCTCGAGTCCCAATTGGCGCCTAATATCTCGATCTGAGATCCCGCGAAATTTCAGAGGTGATCGACTGCGAGGTCGCATCTGCGCTCTCCTTACGTTTCCCTACCTTTTCTTATAGCGTCGGACCTTTGAGATGACTGCCGAGCTACATGAAAACCACATTCAGGAGAAGAAAGAGAAGAAACACAAGAAGTCCAAGGTCAAACGGGACGCGCCCGTGGAGGACGGAGTAGGCGGTGTGTATGTTCGGACGTGCGTTGCACATGCGCGAGTGCTCAGAGCGAAACTCTACAGATGTCATGTCAGAGAAGAGGAGTAAAAAGGACAAGAAGGATAAGAAGAAAAGGGCCTCTGCCCTCGAGGCTGAGGGTGCTGAGAAGGGCATGGCAGTAGATCCTCCAGGTACGTGAATAGTGTATCCACTACTTTCTATCCGTGACTAATAGTTGTGTCGTAGGTGTGATCGAGGACGTGGCATCAGAGAAGAAGCGCAAACGTGAGGCGGAGGAGGGTGTGGCGGAGGATGCGAGCGCGTCCAAGAAAGAAAAGAAGAGGAGGAAAAAGGAGGCTGCTGCTGCTGCCGCCGCCGAACACACTCCTGACGACCCAGTCCCCGAGCCTGAAGTCAGCAGTTCCGAGCCGCAATCAACAAAGGAGAAGAAGGGCAAGAGAGACAAGAAAGCAAAGAAGGACAAGAAGGGAGTCCCTGTCGATCCTTCGTCTTCATCTTCGTCGTCCCCTGCGTCCGCGACCCCAGTCGACATAGAAGCCTTCCTTCAGAAGAACGAGATCACGCTCACGATACCCGACGGCAGCGCGCCGTTCACGCCGGTCCTCTCCTTCGCCGCGCTCGACATCCCGCCAAAACTACGCGCAGCGTTCGACGGGTTCAAGGAGCCTACCCCCATCCAGGCCTGCTCGTGGCCGCCTGCGTTGGAATGGCGAGACGTCGTAGGTATCGCTGAGACCGGAAGGTGCGCTACGCTCATTTCTATGGCTCATGGCTCCTACTTGTCTGCCTGGGCTTATCGCACGCATGCACGCATGTAGTGGGAAGACGCTCGCGTTCGGCCTGCCCGCACTCGCACGGCTCCTCGCCTCCCCAATCGACAAGAAATCCAAGGGTACGACGGTGTCGGTGCTCGTCGTAGCTCCGACGCGTGAGCTTGCCATCCAGACGCACGAGACCCTCGACAAGCTCGGGGAACCGTTCGGGATCGCAAGCGTCGCGGTGTTCGGGGGCGTCGACAAGGGCCCGCAAATCAAGGCGCTTAAGAACATGAACAAGGACAAGGGCAAGGGGACGACGACGCGGATTGTCGTGGGCACTCCGGGGCGGATATTGGATCTGGTGAACGAGGGTGCCTGTGATCTGAGCAGGTGCGCGCTGCGTTTGTGTCCGCTACCAGTGTGAGCGCGGTCTTGACGATGCGCGAAGGGTGTCGTATCTCGTGCTGGACGAGGCGGACCGGATGTTGGACAAGGGGTTCGAGAACGATATCCGGAACATCATCGGGCACACGATGCAGGGGCCGGAGAGGCAGACGTTGATGTGTGAGTGCGCTCTGCTCGCTCGGCGTGCTGCAGGAACTCACTGTGCGTGCTACAGTCAGCGCAACCTGGCCCGATGCCGTGCGGAGACTCGCTGCGACGTTCCAGCGCGATCCTGTCAGAGTGACAGTTGGAAGTGACGACCTAACTGCAAACAGCAGGGTCGAGCAAGGTGCGTCACTGTATTGACTTCTCGCGGGGCTGAGTTGAGCGCGTTCTAGTGGTGGAGGTGTTTGACGAGCCTCGAGAGAAAGAGTATGTGGGCAAGTCTGACGCGAGTACCTCTGTGCTAACGCTCGCCGCAGCTCGCGGTTGCTTGGCCACCTGCGGACACTCATGCCCAAGAAATCGAAGGGCTCTACGGACGACGCGCGTATCCTCATCTTTGCACTGTACAAGAAGGAAGCCCAACGAGTGGACAGCATGCTCCGAAGCAAAGGCTTCTCGGTAGGCGGTCTGCACGGCGACATGTCGCAGGCGGCGCGTATCGAGGCGCTGCAGAATTTCAAGACGGGGGCGACGAGCCTGCTGGTCGCAACTGACGTCGCGGCGCGCGGGCTGGATATCCCGAACGTTGCGGCTGTGATCAACTACACGTTCCCGCTCACGATCGAGGACTACATCCACCGGATCGGGCGGACAGGTGGGTTCGAGTCTGACGTGTTCGTGTTCGTGCGCGATGGGCCGCTGACGGAAAGACGGTTTGTCGCCGGGGGGCGCACAGGTCGGGGAGGCAAGAGCGGCAAGTCGATCACGTTCTTCACGGGGGAGGCGCACGAGCGCGCGCTGGCGGGAGAGCTGGCGCGGGTACTGAGGGAGAGCGGGTTCGAGGCGGAGGGCTTGCACAAGTTCCCGATGACGATCAAGAAGAAGACGCACAGTGCGTACGGGGCGTTCTTCCGCGACGACATCCCGACGCCCAAGGGCCCGACCAAGATCACGTTCTGAGATCCATGGGCTGGGGCGTGTATGCCCGAGCTGTGTATGTATACACGACGATTCGCACTGTGCTCTCGCTATTCTGATCGCGTTTTGAGTGGTTTTGAGAGATATCAAGTTCGGTGTCGCATGACTACGCTGCATTCCCCTCTTCAGCCACCCCTCGTGTGCGCACCATCGTGCTGATAACAGCCAAGTCCTCCTAGCTTGTACTCACAAGTGTTCAGTACATCAATATGCCCCTTCGTACACCTGTCTGTCAAGCATGTATCGAAAAGACTGCCTTGTACCTATGCGTTGCGGGCGTCCGCCCACTCTAGGGGCGGGGGAGTTCTGACGGGGGTGGACGGGCGATCACAACGCATAGGTACTGAGCCCATCTCTCCTTTTGCGTACCCCTACAATCCCGGTCATCGCCTAGGCCTTGCTCTTGTACCCTCCTCACTGATGCCTCCCTATACCTCCCCCTAGCTCGCACAAGCTTTGGGCTCACCAATGTACAGCCCGACATCCTTCCCTGTTCACGTAGACAGCACTTGTATTCAATGCATACCATGAACCACGGCCTCTCCGGGCAATAAACGGGATCTAGAACGAAAGAAAAGTACTCCTGCGTCGGTGGCCATAGTAGTGGTCACGGTGTGGATGAGGTGCGTCACTCAGCGGTAGAAGCGCCCAATGGCTGTGGGGGGGCGCGTCAGGGCCGACCGAAGTTCGC